TAAAATTCACGATCTATGAATGATCTTACTGAGCGATGTTCCCGCCGCTCTTCATCAAGATAATAATAGAAACTGCATAAGATTTTAATAGATACCTTTAATCAATCAAGCAACCATCCGGGACGAAGTCGGGGAGTTTTTACCAATATTCAAGGAATGTCACTCTCTGTCGTTCACTATCCAAATAGAAATTAGGATTCTTACGAAATTACCACGTGAAAGCAACACTTAAGAAACTCAACAATTCAACAAACATTCGGAACACAACTGAAATTCTCACATCAACATTCAACAATAAAATTGAATTTTAATCTTTAGAAGTCTTACAATTCACTCACTCGACAGGATCATTCCCCTGTAGGTCTTTTGACAGGATTATTCCCCTGCAGGTCCTTTCACAGGATCATCCCCCTGCAGGTCTTTCAAAAGGAAACAGTCACATCATAACTGAACCAATTTTTCAATTCAACAAACATGCTGATTAAGACAAGTTCCTTGTCACAGAACTATTCCCCAGTTTACTGATAGGAATGATTCCCCGGTTGCTGATGGATTAACCTCCCAATCCACTGATGGGAACGAGTCCCCAGTTGCTGATGGAAGTCACTCCCTAGTCTGTTGATGGGAACCAATCCACATTGTACTGATTTGAATTACTTTCTAGCTTTCTGATGGGAATGACTCCCCAGTTGCTGATGGGAATGACCTCCCAGTCTACCGATGGGAACAAGTCCCCAGTTGCTGATGGAAGTCACTCCCCAGTCTGCTGATGGGAACCACTCCCTAGTCCACTGATAAAATCGAGTTGTGAGATCATCCTGTTATAGGTCTTTCACAGGCTTAACCCCCTGCGGGTCTTTTTCATTCCATCGAATATGGAAATGACTCCCCAGTGGCTGATAGGAATGACCTCCGAGTCCATTGATCGGAACAAGTCTCAAGTTGCTGATGGAAGCCACTCCCGAGTTTGCTGATGGGAGCTAATCCATGGTCTTTCACAGGCTTAACCCCCTGTGGGTCTCTCATTCCATCAATATGGAAACGACTCCCCAGTTGCTGATGGGAATGACCTCCCAG